AACTATACAATATATATTTTTAATAAATAATTAGTATAAAAAATCTTAAAACTAACGGTAATATGCACGTCACACCTACCTTCTTGCACTTCAATGCCCTCGGCCTTCAAGAGATCGCGCAGCTTCTGTATYTCTTCCTTAAGCTCACGTATAAGCTTGGCATTGGCGTCCTCGTTGACAATGGCCTTGCAAACGATCTGTTTGGCGCGATCGGCATAACTGAAGAACACAAGAAGACATTTTTTTTTTTTTTGTAAGAACAAAATTTAAATGTCAAATATGTTTCTTAGAAGTTCTTAAGTTTACCAAAAAAAGAAATTTTTTTCTAAATTTTAAAAACTTTAAAAAAACTCGGCTGTAGTTATCAAAGTTGTACTGGAAAGCGTGAGGTGGAATTCTCAAGGTACTTTCCGCTGCATTATCCAGCTCTTGCCAGACCGAGGCTAAGTCATCGCGATAGTCTTATCGAAGAAGACATGGCCAAAACTGACATTAGAACAAATTTGTTGATGGACTCAAAGCGATTTGTCGACTTGTAAGGGTCTTATGATCTATTATCTCATTCTATATAAAAGTTTTCGGTAACACAACGGAACAGCGTTTTAAGCTTCCAAGTGTTATGCCTGTTAGGATCGACATCTTAACTTACATAAATTCTTGTATTAGAATAATAATTAGCACTCAATATAAGCGGATTGCTTTCAGTCAAAATTTTCTTGTCTTCGACCTTACTCATTGGATCAAGTCCGCACTTATTCGTCCAAATAATTTGCTTCTATATAGAGTTTCCTGAATCTCGAAACTTAGAACTAAACGGTATCAGGAGAGGACAACACCATGTAGAAATTCTTTCTCATCATAAACCTTGATTTTTCATATCCAAAAACTAATAAGRACKTTAGAMGGCWCAGATATTTCATAMCCCGCTTTTGAAAAAAGGCTGAAAWAAATTAAGATTGTTCGTTTGGTTTGATCCATCAAGTGCTACAAAAAGGAATCCATTGTAGAGTGGATGCTTACATATTTCGATGCTAACTTCTGTGGTCGTTCTGTGTAACAGGGTTCTAAACGACTTCATTTTTCATAAAATCAAAGATGTGAGTCACATCTATTGCTTATACTCGTATACCCAGAATTTAGTAGTCGGCCTTCATTCGTATTTTCTACATCTCGACAAAATTAAGAATAGCCAGACAGAAAATCGGCGATCTTACTTTGCTTCGAACAGTAACTTTTGGAATTAMTTTGTCATCACTGCAGCAACTTCTAGCAGCAGTGTTGCTCCGTATTCTCCTGRTCCGTGTTGGCATTGAGTCTAAAATGGAATCAGATGAATTTTTTTGCGCTAAAAAGCTCCACTCAAACTACACTTCGTGGATATAGCCATYTTAAGACCTGCTCAAGCCTTTAGACTCATTGGGAGTAGATCACAATTAATGTGGCTCCATAACTGCGACACCAGCCTCTTGGCAATTSCACGCTATCCTAGTCAAGTAGCCAATAAAGGACCTCTACAGTCTAAATGCGATTACTATGGGCTCTGACTCCTAGGACAGGGTTAGTGATCAGGAACTGGCGGAACAGAATGGCGATTCGACATTCTGCACAATAAATGACGAAGCTCTCACCATAATTATAGGTACTAGCCGGATATTGCCAGCGCTAGTGGTGATCTGATAAATAGCATAACYCGACGTCCTATGCTAACCCTTTCAGACCATCTGCGCGTAATTATCTCGATCGGGAAACGTCAACTTTATTTCTGTGGATCATTAGATCACTTCAATGACAACAAAACCGAATTTTAGCACCCAAGTGGGGATTAGAAAACCGCTATAACAACACAGATTGACAATCTCAGTGGTATAGCGACAGTTTTTCAATAGTTTTGGGTTTTTTTTGACTTCTTGGTAACAACTTTAATACGACGTCAATCGATTGGTCAGTATCACAAGAGTTTTCTGAAAACCTCCTCTGAATATCAACTAATCTATCAAAACTAAGAGAATTTATAATTTGGAAATTTTTGCGACAATTTTTTAACAGTTCTCTAATTGCTTTGAAATGTGGACTTTTCGTAAAAAAAAAAAAATACTCAGAGGTTTTGAGATTAGTTCTTCTTGAAACCATTACAAATTTTATCAGCTAATAATATAATTTATCATAATTACTATTCAATACTTTAAGTTACTCACCGCAATGTGCTCAAGGTTTCATCGTAGTTAATGTCAGCTGGTGAGATCGCGGCAATCATGGCGGTCTTAGAGTTGCCACCCAAGTTCTCGCGCAACAGCCAGGTCAAAACGGAGTCGCGGTATGGTATAAAATCGGCTTTCTTTGATTTCTTGTTCTTAGAAGCCTACAAATCGAGCATGATAACGCAGGTTAAAATAAAATATTGGTGATTGTAAAAGGATACACTGCGTTAAATTGTATGAGTCAAATGGTTAAACGAATTTTTTTGATAATATTACGATTTTTTAAACTTTTTTAAATATTATTATGCATTATAAATTAAAATTTTACAAATATTATAACAATTGTTTAAAAGTTAAAATATTATGTAAACATTTAAACATATATAAATTTCAACCAATACAACTTCAAAGCACACTGCAATTTTTTTCACTGCAACACGCATTATTTCGCTTTAGTTAAAGTTTAATACTTACAGACTGTTTTTTATTTTGAAATCGTTAAAAAATTTTGAATATTCACAATTTTTTTCAGTGTACGAATTTCCAATATTGTTTATTCAATTTGTTTTTTTTTTGTGCAAAATTGTTCAGCATTGGATGAATGAGAGATAAACAAGAGCAAAAGAGGCATGTGAATAGTAAAAGCTTCAAAAATTGCTGCTTTTCAAATACAAAATGCAATAAAAATCTGTTTTAATTCGAAATTATTACTTACAATTTCGGCCAAGGCCGATATAACTTTGCCAAGTGTTGTCAAAGATTTATTGATGTTGGCGCCCTCCTTKAGACGTGTGCCTTTGGCGCCAGTCGAGTCMGCGCGTTCGGAGCCAGCCAAATCGACTAAGCTAATTTTCGAAACCTTCTCGGTGGTCAGATCGGTCATRTTGTCATGACGACGTTGGGTAAAGAATATGGTGAAAACAGCATGTGAACGAGAACTGGTCTCATTCATGTTGGTAGCGGCCACGGTGCTGTTGGCGAGAAGGGAGAATATTTAAAAGAATTATTTAATTTAATAATTTATATTGTTTTATAGGGAAAATTATTAAATAACATATGTGGGACAATACAAATAAGACCCCTTAATTGCAGTTATAACATTTCTTACTAAAAGTTGTCAGAGTTCTAATTTCTTTGTACCCTGAACTATCGAAACCAGTTTCTGTATGGGAAACTTTCTTGTTTGATGATATATTTTTACGAAATTTTGTAGGAATTATTGCACAAGGTAACGGTATTATCTCCGAAAAAATTGTTCACATCGGGTCACTATAAAATATAGCTGCCATAYGAACTGACCGATCAAGGTATTGTTCTTATATGGAAAACTTTTTTATTTGACGAGGTATCTTTTCAAAAGTTGGTATATATTATTACTCAAGCCTACGGTACAATCTCCGAAGATATTGTTGAGATCGGCTTATTATAGTAGTACGACATTTGTCATACAAACCGATTGATCGAAATCCAATCTTTGTAAAGAAAMCCTTTTATTTGACGAGATATTTGACTGAAATTTGGTACAGATTATTTACTCAAGATAACAGTATAAGCTCTGAATAAACTTTTCAGATAGAACCACTATAGCATGTAGCTGCCATACAAACCGATTGATTGAAATTCAGTCTTCATACGGAAAACTTATTTATTTGACGAGATATTTGACTGAAATTTGGTAGAGATTTTTGCTCAAGGTAGCGATACAATCTCCGAGGAATTTACTCAGATCGGATTACTATAACATATAGCTGTCATACAAAGCGATTGGTCGAAATCCCGTCTTTTTATGGAATACTTTTTTATTTCATGAAAAATCTTTGTGAAATTTAGTGCTTCTTATTACTCAGTGCTTTAGTGCTTGTATATACTCCGAAGAAGTGGCTTAGATCGGATCACTATAGCATATAGCTGGGATAAAAACTGAACGCTCAAAATAAAATTTTTGTTTGGAAAACTTTCTTATTTGAAGAGCTAGCTTTACCAAATTTGGTAAGGATTATGTGCCAAAGGTAAGGGTATGATCTCCAAAGAAATTATATAGATCGGGTCAGTATAGCATATAGCTGCCATACAAAATGACRTATTTTTRAATAAGAAACAGCTAATTTATAYACAATATTTAACTCAAAAGCTTTGATTTCCCATTAACAACTTTAAAACTAGCAATGGCTCAAACAGTTTAGTAACATTCCTATTTATTTAATTATTTTTATTATTCTTTATGACATTTTTTCCCGTGTGTTTTAGTAATTGTCTTTTCATAAAAGCAAGAAAATCAAATTAATTTAATATATAAAAATAGTAAATCTAATTTATATAATTATCAAACATTCGCTTACCGYGCTTTGTTGCCCTCATCGATGAGATCGTGTATGTCCTGATAGTCGGTGACGGCCAACTTGGATAAATCCTCCACATATGGACCGAGCAATGGATGCTCACGTACGCGCAAGTTGCCTTTGTTCTTCGGATTTAATAAATCGCGTACACGTTCGCAATAGATTTCCATATATGAAACCTCAACCTGCAGGCGTGCAMACAAAGAAATCAAGATAAATAGTAAGTAAGGCAAAATAGCAGCATAGAATAATAGTGAAAAAAATGTAATAAATGAGGGCGTATTCATSWGTATGYCARGCGACAACATGMGCGCCAACAACAACAACAACAACRTGTTTACAATGAGTGTTGCAAGCATTCGCAATATTGTAAATTCGCTTTGTAGTGTCGTCTTTGTATGCATAAACTATGCGCATAAATCCCTTTTCACACAAGCAACTATACACACACCCAAGCACACACTTATCTCCGCTGACACAACTGTCAGCACTTACATTCCAAAGAGATAACACATCAGATAGACAACACATCAGCTACAATTGCACAACCACCCACTACGCTCCGTGCCACATTTGCTGCCTCACTATTTATTTGCGATTTTTCTTCCACATTCGCTTCACTTAACTTCGCCTCACTTCACTTCACATCAACATTTCACCTCACTATACTTTATTACTTTTCGCTTCACTACATTTGTTTGCTCCTTAAGGCTATGCAGGCGTCCTCCTCAACTTACCGAATACTTGAGTTCGTTTGTTTCCGTGTCATGTATACGATTGAAGAGATCCTTACAAATCATCGGTATAATGCCTTCTTGATGCTCCTCCTGCTTGCCCATCATTGTGTATGATTTGCCGGCACCGGTTTGACCGTAGGCGAATATGCATACATTATAGCCGTCGAAGGAGTGTTGCAACATCTCCTCGCCGATGTCCTTGTAGACCATCTCTTGGGTGGAGAATTCGGCATCCCGTGGCTGTCGCAAAAGTTTATTAAAAGAAGGGGAGGAATGGAAAAAAAATGCCATTAAAAAGTGTTTTCATTTAATTAGTTATCAAGTACAAGTGCTAAATTSATTATGTGTAAGAAAGTTTGTTCAAAGAATGCTTTGAAAGTATTCTTTTCAATATCCTGTAAAAGTACTTACATCGTGTGACCAATAGGAATAATCGAAATTGAAGCTTTTGATGGCTTCGCTGCTGTTTAATGGTACTTTGGGATTTGTGATAGCTGCAAGGAGGGAAATCATAWATAAAACAGTTATTAAGATAAACTGTGATTTTATTTTCTTCCTGAAATTTAAGCCTACTTAAAGCAATAGCTTTCGAAACATATTGTGGCGCCGATATAATTTCGGACTAAACGATATAAATATGTGTTGTTGTACTTACCGGTGGTTGCACCGCTCATTTGAATTATACATTTTGATTCTCGACCGATTTCACGCGAATTGAAGGGTCGCACTCGAACCGCCACCTTAACGGACGACATTTTGGCGGTGAGAGAGGCCCACAGGCCTTAATAACGCACTAGAAGCTGCAAGTAAATAAAKAAATAATAATTTTCAATTAGATAATATATAGATTAAATGTTGTTTTGAGAAATTGGAAACAATGCGAATATTCTTAAAAGTTAAAGGGAAGTAAAGGGACCGAACTTTTATCTCCGAATCGCTTCTGAACCGCAACCAAATCGACCCACTTTTAAAACGGATGATCAGTAGTGATGCGTCATGTACGACAAGCTAAGGCGGGCGTGGGCGAATCGCAGTGAGCCGCTRCCAACGATGGTCAAGCCAGAATTGATGGTTAGAAAAGTTGGTCTCCTACGGCCAAACYTTCAGATCAGTACTGTYAACAATTAGATCRTGTAAAGGAAGCAATCGTCTAGAARCGATGAGCATTGTTCAATAAAAAAACTATTATGTTGTGACAACGCCAATTGACACATATCGAAAGTGAACCGACAGAAGCTTAGTTAAGAGGGTCCTATGCATCCACTTTAAAGTCCGAATTGGCCGCCAAGTGAATATTACTTGTTTCTGTCTCAAATTAGCAAACAGTTTTCGAATAAAACGTTGCATATTTAATCAAAATCGGATTATTCTAACTATATTTAATACATCCCCGAAAACTTGAACCACTCCGTCGTAGAGKTTACGAGGGATTTATGAATGGTGAGCAATCGCTGAAGATGAGGCGCTGTGAGCTTATTCATGGGTGGGTCGAAGCTAAGAGAGAATTTCAAATGAAGTCTCTTCTATACGGACCTCTCCAAGTCAAGCTTAGCTTTAATTTATTGGTCCATGATATATGAATGAGGGGAAGTCACTGAAAGAGAGCCACTATGTGCATGATATATGAATGAGGAGAAGACGCTGAAAAAGAAACGCTGTGAGCTTTTTCATGAATGGGTTGAGGTTTGGAAAGAATGCCGAATGAAGAGTCATCCTTGACGACCTCTTCAATTTGGTTTTAGGTTCTCGGTCCATGATATATAAGAGAAGTAGCTATATGGCGCCATGAGCTTTTTCGTGAAAGGGTCGAAACTAGGAGAAAATTTCGAAAGAAGAGCCTTCTTTAAGGACAAGCTTAGCTCTAAACTAGAAAATCGAAATCGATCGAAAGATCGAAACTAGAAAATAATGTCGCATGAAGAGTCTGCAGTAGGTATTCGGACTGCTTTAGTCTCTTCCAGGCATGAGTAGCTGCTATTAAAGTAGCAGTAGTCAAGGAGGTTCTAGTTTCACTAAATATAGCAACGAGTTACTTCATTTTCAGACTCGTTTCCGTGCACTTCGGAATAGGAATAAGTTGGATCCCAGTTATCATTTTGCGCGCTAGTATTTTAACTGTGGAATTCGCATCCGCTTAGCAGGCGTTGGTCGACGACTTGACTCTACGCGAGTACGAGATCTTTTTAGCTCAGAGTTGAAATTAGGGGATCTTTTGGGCTACGTGCTCGAAGGAAAATGGAGCTTGCCGCATTTTCAGCAGTTCTTACTGGACATTATCTTATATGAATTTATGCTATAAGGCTAAAAATCCAATCGGACACAAACTGTCAAAGTTGTATGGAAGCGAGTGAGGTAGCAACTMCCAGGCAWTTTCTTCTCCATAGTCCAACCGGGAGACRTAGCTGAAGCCGACATTAATTGCGTCAACATATTTGTAATCGACTCAAAGCTTTTCGCCGATTTTTGAAAAGTTATAGATTTATAAGAGTTATGAGTGCCACAACCGACCGGCTATAAGCTGTCCAAGTGTGTTTCCTGTTGATAATGAGCATTTAACCTTAACTCTAATCTAACTAAGATCTTCAATTAAATGTAAAAGTAAATACTTTTCTTTTACTGAACCTTATATAATGTTCTTCATACAAAAATTGTCATAGAAAAATTTGCTCTAAGTGGACTTAAAACTTGATCTAACCTTTAACAGTTTAGAATGAAAGGTATGCACGGCATTCATCTTCGCATATATGTCTTCAGGTACCTCCAACATAAGCATATTAATAAGTAGCGCCATTCGGCACATCAGGCTGTCAATTAATTCCGCTTCGAAAAAATGTGAAAACGCACACATATACACACAATTCATAGCTTGAAGGAGCAAACGCTTAGCATAAATAAAATTTGCTACTTTACTGACTCTAGTTGAAGTGAGCACACGCGCCACATTTTTTTTTTTTTTTTTTTTTTTTTTTTTGTCACTTTATGCTGCAAAGCTGCTATAGACTTGTGTGTAATGGCATATTTGCACAGCTGCGAGGGTGAGAGTGGCCGGGAGAGCGCTGAAAAGTTGCGGAAAAGAAATTTGTAACAACTCGCGCATAATTACCACATTAATTTGTTTATTACGTTGAGTACCTGCACATTAGAGCACACACACAGGAATAACAGAAGGTAATACATATATGTGAGAACATACATATTGTGTATATATGTATATGCCAGCTTTGCTTGTATGCGTAAAAAGGAAAAGCACAGAAAAGTTGCCACAAAGTAGCCAAGTTTTACGTTAATGAATGCCAACCCACACAATACACACATACAAACGCAAAATAGGAACAAGCACATATTTTTGTATATTTTTGTGCACCTGTGGCAACACTGGCGCATTAGCGCTTACGTAAATCCGCACGCAAATTGCCAAAGGAACTTTTGTGCCTACACTTTTGCYTGTTATTGTCGTGTGTGTGTGCACTTTACGCCAGCTGCGCTCTGCTCGAATGCCTCAAAGTTGGGTCGCCATGGCGTATGAGCAACACAATGGAARCGARSGCGCGTAATAGCAACAGTAAATGCATGTATTTGCATATACAAACGCATTTATGAATATATACATAAGAAAAATACACACACATATAAAAAAAATGATACATACACACACACACACACACTTGTGCCGCCCGCTTTGAGTGCGCGTTGTCGCAGCCACTTATTATTTACATTTAAATTTCATTATTTGTAATTTTCAACAACAAAGCGGCGTARCGGGAAAATAACGCATATACAACAACAATACTAACAAAAAAAAGCAACAATACCAACAACAAAGGAACGAAACGAAAGCCGCGCGCAAGTTGTTGACTCGCTTGCAGCTGCCATATTGTTGTTGTGCCGTCTTTTGTTCGCTGCCGTCTTTTTGTTGGGGTTGCTTTTCTGCGCTCCATTCTTGTTGTAAGCAACCGTAAATTTAATTTCAGCAAATTTCATAGGTATGTTTTAATTAAATTGATGGTGTGACGTGGTCGCCAACTCCTGCGGTGTTTCGCTGAATGCGGCGCCAGCGCGTTCTTCATAATTTAAAATGCTTTGAGTGAGGTCATAAATTTGAAGTTTGCAGGTGGCGCTGCTGCGGTGTTAGGGTTAATAATATGTGTGAAAAGTAGGAAAAGAAATATTTTAATGTAAAAAAGGTGCAATTTTCTGCAGGTTGTTAGCTTTTACAGCTTTTTAATTAAAGTGAAATTCACACTTATAAAAAATATATATTAAAAAATTWTGAAATTATGAAAACGATTGCTTAAACTCATACAAAGTGATTTGGAAWAGGTAGCAAGAAATATGCAAGCTTTTGAGAATTTCCAGTAAACATACAGACGAATTTTTATAGTAAAAATGCAAAATATTTAATTATTCATCAATATTTATTTGATTGCTTTCAAAGTAAACCGCACCAGCTGAAATACTCTTATGCTAACGATTTTTCGAGAAACTTCAGATCCTTCAGCAGTTTTTGTTTTATGGCATCGATGGACTGAAAACGGATTCCACGGAGCGRCAACTTCAGTTTGGGGGACAAGAAAAGATCACAGATCACACGGCGCCAAAACGGATGAATGCAATGTTTGTTCGATGGTTTTCATTACGCTTTTGGCTTTAAATTGTGGCTCGATTTGAAAAAAATTCACCCCTATCGGGACGAGTCGAGCAAGAACGCGTTTCATACCCAAAATGTCCACCAAAATCATTTCAACGGACTCGCGAAAGATGTCGAGCGCAAGAATCACAACATTCAATTTTTTAATATTTTCATCACTTGAAATGGTCAAAGAACGTTCAGAACGAGACATTAGTTAGGTGAGTTTAGGTTAAAAGATCGATTCTAACAGCTATCTCACTTTGAATCCTTTGAACGCTGGTACGTTGTGTCACCTAAAAGTACTATATAATAAGTCATCARATCCCTACAAATCGACAAGCGCTTTGAAACATCACAAATAAGTTAGTGAACATCTCAACTTCRGTTTCGACTTTATCGATTTTATGATTCGAAAGTAAGAYTGCCGAAATGTTTCATCTTCAGTTTTGTAATGTCTGAACAATGACATAGGAAGTGCTTTAACCTTTACCCCTTTACACTCATCCACACAATTTTGGTAACTAGATTCCGACTAGAGTTTCAGCCCAAAACTATGACTGCCTAATTTTCAATCTCCAGTAATAATTCCTCCGACTGCGACAGGTTTAAATTTGCTAAAAGCAAGTAATTCAGAAGATCTCAGGCGTTCTACTCCAGCCCAAAAGGAACTTGCAGTCGTACCCGCAGGGGTGACTCGTTGAACAGCGGCTGCTAAGCGAAGGCGAGGTGCATTCATCTAGTGCTAGAACACAAGGCGAGACTAGGGTGCCTCCTCTGGTTACCTCGTCCGCTCAGCATTTGTCAGCGCTTCTTCTATTCTTCTGATCAGGTACACAAACGGGTAGTTGATGATGAAGTAGCTTGCTCCTATATCTAGTGAGGTCAGAGTCTGCTTAACAGGCTTTAACCTATCGACGTCTTAATAGCAGAAAATACTAGAGTAGTCTGGTAGCCTAAAGCTAAGRTTGACCGCAGGGCTGCTTATAGAAACATTCACGCTCAACCTTACCTTCCAGCGTCGACCGATGCGTTAAAAAGCTCACTGCGCATCTTCTACAGCGACTTCTTTCCAACCACATCTCCTTGCATGTGAGCGGAGAAAAAGTCGCCACGAGTAGCTCCCGCAACCCAGTAAACCAAGTTTTGCGGTATGCAGTTGAAAGGCGAAAG